TACATGTTCCTATGGAGGTTTTAAAATGTGGCTAGTCTGAACTGAGATGTGTGCTAAGTGTAAAATATACACTTATGCATATTTCTTAATAATTTTATATTGACTATGACAGTACTGGACCATTTTTATACTGAGATGACAGTACTTTAGCTATAGGCTTCCCCGATGGCTCAGTGGTAAAGAACCTGTCTGCCAATGAAGGAGAAGCACATTCAATCCCTGGGTCAGGAAGATTCCCTGGAGAAAGAAATGTCAACCCACTCCAGTATTCTTGCCAGGAAAATCCCATGGACAGAGGAACCTGGCAGGTTACAGTCCATGTGGCTGCAAAAGAGACAGACATGACTAATAGACTAAACAACAACAATTTTAACTATACTGGGTTAAATAAATATTAAATTTTTTTTCAATCTGTTCCTTCTTACTTTTTTTTAAAATTCGACTTCTGGAAAATTTTAAATTACGTTATATGGCTCACATTTTATTTCTATTAGACAGCCTTGTTCTACAGGCTTCTCCAGTGCGTGATTAAGAATTCACGTGCAATGCAAGAGACACAGGAGATGTAGGTTCGATCCCTGGGTCAGAAAGACCCCTGGAGAAGGAAATGACAACCTGCTCCAGTATTCTTTCCGGGAAAATCCCATGGACAGAGGGGCTTGGAGGGTTACAGTCCACAGGGTCACAAAGAATTGGACAAGACGGAGCAACTGAGCACACACATAGCTTTGTTCTACAAACTATCTCTACTAAGAATGTCTGTCCCTTACATGCAGCATGCTTAATACTGGGCCCACCTCTTACAACCTCTATGATAGCTCTGTGCCTCAGCTTCTTCATCAATAAAATGGAGACACTAACTGGTATTTTCTTGGGCTCCAAAATCACTGCAGATGGTGACTGCAGCCATGAAATTAAAAGACATCTGCTTCTTGGAAGAAAAGCTATAACAAAGCTAGACAGCATGAGATGGATGAAACTGAAGCCCATTATACAGAGTGAAGTAAGCCAGAAAGATAAAGACTATTACAGTATACTAACACATATATATGGAATTTAGAAAGATGGTAACGATAACCCTATATGCAAAACAGAAAAAGAGACTCAGATGTATAGAACAGACTTGTGGACTCTGTGGGAGAAGGCGAGGGTGGGATATTTCAAGAGAACAACATCGATACATGTATATTATCTAGGGTGAAACAGATCACCAGCCCAGATTGGATGCATGAGACAAGTGCTCGGGCCTGGTGCACTGGGAAGACCCAGAGGGATTGGGTAGAGAGGGAGGTGAGAGGGGGGACCAGGATGGGGAAATACATGTAAATCCATGGCTAATTCATTTCAATGTATGACAAAAACCACTGCAATGTGGTAAAGTGGAGAGGGAGGTGGGAGGGGGGACCGGGATGGGGAATACATGTAAATCCATGGCTAATTCATTTCAATGTATGACAAAAACCACTGCAATGTTGTAAAGTAATTAGCCTCCAACTAATAAAAATAAATTAAAAAAAAAGAAATAACTGAAAAAATAAATAAATAAAAGTAACGGTAATAAGTCCCCCCCCAAAAAAAAAATAAATAAATAAAAAGCAGAGACGAGACTTTGCCAACAAAGGTCCATATAGTCAAAGCTATGGTTTTTCCAGGAGTCATGTACAGATGTGAGAGTTGGACCATAAAGAAGGCTGAGCACTGAAGAATTGATGCTTTTGAACTATGGTGTTGGAGAAAACTCTTGAGGGTCCTTTGGACACAGCAAGGAGATCAAACCAGTCAATCCTAAAGGAATATTAATTGAAGGACTGATGCTGAAGCCCCAGTACTTTGGCCACCTGATGCAAAGAGCCCACTCATTGGAAAAGATCCTGATACTGGGAACGATTGAAGGCAAAAGGAGAAGGTGGTGGCAGAGGATGAGATGGTTGAATGGCTTCACTGAGTCAATGGACACCAATGAGTCTGAGCAAACTCCAGGAGATGGTGACGGACAGGGAAGCGTGGAGTGCCGCAGTCCATGGGGTTGCAAAGAGTCAGACACAACAACTGGAGCAAAGAGGATAACTGCAACAATAAGGGCTAACAGACACATAACACTATATGCCAGGCACTGTCCTAAGCACTTTTCATACATTAACTCCTTTAATTTTCGCAACATCCCTGTGAGACTATCACTCCCACTTTACAGATGAGCAAAGTGGAGGCACAGAAAGTAAGTGCCTAGCCACAGGTTACACAATGAGTAAACAGTGAAACCCAGGATCAAGCCCAGGCGGTCAGTTCCAGGATCCTTGCTTTAAACCACTGTCTCTCATGATACTCACCTCAAAAATGTTACAAAAAATCAGTAAGTTAATTTACCAAATAATGTCAAACTGTCTCCAGCGAACAGTAAACTTTCCTTAGTGTTTATCATCACCGTCACTCCAATCCTCAATCTATTTTCCAAATTCCCTGCATGCCACAACTACTCTCCCCAACTCCCAGGGCTAAAGCATCTTTGAACACCTCTCCCTCTCATTCCCTAACTCTAGTCAGGTCCCTCGTAACTCCTCCTAGAGAGCTGTTAATGCAGCTATTGTTTCCCACTACCACGTTAGACCAGTTACAGTTGCACCCTCACGACGGGATGACTTAAGAGCAATAACAAGAAAAATACCTGAACCGATGCACAGGCATGCTTCAAATCTGTTAATTCATTTAAACCTCACTCTAACCCTGTCTGTTCGCCAGGACTTCTACATGTGGGCTCTAAGAGTGTCTACTTTCTTCAGCAGACCAGTCCCTCTGGAATACCAGTTTCATCACATGTTGGGAACTTGAAAGGTGTGTGCATTCTCTATACATGTGGCTATCAGCTGATGTATATGAGAGGCAAAGATGATGGGTGTTCCCTATTGGGGCAAAAAAGATTTACAAGGCCCTTAAAATTAAAAAATCTAGCTTCATCAAAAATCTCCCACAGGATCTAGTCTCAACTCAGCAGCCAAACATTAACAACTATATACCCTAGCCCCAGACTGCTTATTCAATCTTAACTTCAGTTAACAAAAGCCCTCCAGAACAGATAAACAGGTCTCTTCACTGTTTCTGGAGTAACTAACAATTATTATTATCATTTATAGTAGTCATAATATTACAATAAATAATATAAATTATTTTTGTTCCTAGGCCTTATTCATACAACTTCCCTCTACTTCAAAAACCTAAGCACACTTCTCCACAAAAGTGAAAGTTGCTCAGTCATGTCCAACTCTTTGCAACCCCATGGACTGTAGTCTGCCAGGCTCCTGTGTCCATGAAATTCTCGATGCCAGAATACTGGAGAGGGTAGTTGTTCCCTTCTCCAGAGATCTTCCCAACCCAGGTCTCTCTCATTGCAGGCGGATTACCGTCTGAGCCACCAGGGAAGGCCTCTCTTCCATAAATCCTCTCCAAAACATCCAGACTAAACTAATCTCTCCTCTAAATTGTGATAAAATAACTGGGCCTGTAATGATATATTCATCACCCAGCAAACGCCAATTACAACCCAACCAGGCCATGACCAGCTGGAAGGCAAGCACCAATTCCCTCATTTCTCATCGTCTCTGAGGGCTTCTACAAAGCACATGCACTTTTTGGCAAGTGGAACAGTAAATGAGTTACAGACGGTGCAGTTGAAATGACCTGTAAATACTCTTAATTTAACCAACCCTAGGTCCCTAACCAGGTAATACCTCAGAGTAACAGGAGCAATATCAACAATTGCATAGAAGTGGTATCACTGACCTTTCCAAATCATTACCTTCTTTACTCCTCAAAACTGTCTAGAGAAGTACAGGCTATTATATCTTTAAGTCAGCTGAGGTTTAAAGAAGTCGAGTGTTTTCACTCAGGATCAAACAACTACTAAATGGCAAAGTTGGAACCAGAGACCAGACTGGTAGTCCAGGGCTCCTTCTCAATGTTCTAATTCACCTTTTATCTCCTCTCCCTCCTCATCACCTAAAGGAACAGTGAAGTTACTTAAAAGGAGAAAGGAATTGGGTGAGAATCCTTGGTAACCTCAGAAATGGTAAATTAATGACTTAAAATGAACACTTGTCTGAAATGGTTTTTTTCTTCTTCGATTCACCAAGGGTAATGATGACTTACAAGGCTGCATTTAAACCTCATGATCTTGCTGTACTGTGAAAAAAATTTTCCATCCAGACTTAAAACCAAGGCCTTTCCGGCCTCCAGAGTTGGACACCACTTCCCCCACCCCACTCCCACCTCGCTTACAAAAGCTTAGCTTAAGGCAGTTTCTTAGCAAGAATAATTAAGGAAGGAAGCAAGCTTTTGAGGACAGAACACCTCACCATCAAAGCCAACTGGCAGTCCTTGCTAAACGTTATAAACCATTAGTTTCCCCCTACATTTTAGTTTCCATGTTATTTGTTAAATAGTCCAATTTAACACCGAGTCACAAAGAACCTCAGTTCAGGGCAGTCTCAACTCATGAATGGCCACATTGTTGGGTACTCTCCCTTCATGTTTTAAGTCAGAAATGGAAAGACATGGAGACGGACCCAAACCTGGGCTAACTGCACTGGCAGAGCCAAGAAAAAGCAGGAATGCACCAAAGGCGCCTGCCTCCGCTTCCTCTGCAGACCTTCAAGCCACTGGAAGGGATGCGGGCAGCTTCCCCTCGCGGGAGGTTTCAGCAGCCGCCAGCTCACTCCCGAAAGATAGTCCTCGAGGTCTCATCCGAGCCGTGGAGCCGAAGAAGCAGGCGTTCTTCCCACGGACCGTGGATCCGACTGCCTGCAGAGCCCAGCCAGAGACCCCCGCCCCCGCCACGCCACGCCACGCCACCCGGCACCACCCACCATCCCTGCTGGAAGGCGCCGCGGCCTCGGGTACCATCCCCGATTCTCCAAGCAGGATGCATGCAGAAGGAGTGGGCAGCGGCTCCGAATGGATCTGCAGCCGGAGCCTCTCAGAGCCTCCTCCACACATCTGCTTCGACTCACCCAGTTCTGCGCGTTATTGCTCAGTTTGACTTTCTTGCACAGGCTACCGGGGACCTCCATGGCTTACAGAGAGCGCGCGGGTGCCGGGATTCTCAGCGCCGTGAGCGAAGCCAGAGAACCTGAGGCCGGCGGGGGCGGGGCGGGAAGGCGGGGCCTCCTCGCGACGGGGCTGGCCCGCGCTGTCGTAGGCACGCGCTCGTGCTCGTGGCTCTGACTGCGCGCCGCGTCGGCCGCGCGTCCGAAATGGGTCCGGGGCAGAGGTGTGCGGGGAGGAGCGACCAGAGGCAGGAGTTGGGGGCGGGCTTCAGGGCGCGCACCGACGCGAGCGCGCACGACGCTCCTCCCTCTGATTCTGAGGAAGGGGCGGAGCCTGAGAAGGTAGTCGTGTAAGTAACCCAGTCCCTCTCTGACTCGCTCCTTGAGCTGCGCATGCGTGGAGGCTGGACCCGGGTCCCAAACCCAGACCTAGAGACGAGGAAGATGCCAGGCTCCCAGCTCTGCTGCTGTTTACTAGAAAGAAGACGTTGACGTGGTCTCCCGCCCCTGTCTTCCTCCATAAGCCCGGTCACCAGTTTCCTATCTTCCAAATCTGTATTTATCTCGGCTTGGGTACATATAAAAAGGAATTTTCCAGCATCTCAAAGAGAAGATTTAACAGCTTATTGTCCACACATTCCGCTTCGTGTTGAAATTCTGCCCAACAATTAAAAAAAAAAAAAAGTCAATACACCATCAGTAGTTAACATCTCTTCTGGTTTTAGCGGTTATCTGCCAGGTGCCTCCGTCCCCACTAGAAGACATCTCTTGAGGAGATTTCTGTCAGGTACTTCTCACCGGCCAAGTCAAGAAGGAGCATGTATTTTATCAGCTTCTCATGAAATCCTTAGAGGAATGAAATCCAGGCTGAGGGAGAGCCCTTGGTTACCACTGAGTGGAATGCCCATCTGTAGAGGACACGTTCAAACTCACCTAAGAATTCCGTGGCTACTTCACCTGAGGATGGGCTGGGGATGGAGGGAGCTTCCTCTGAGAGTTACCTTCCTTTCCACCTCCGTGGACAGAGGAGCCTGGCGGGCTGCAGTCCCTGGGGTCGCAAGAGTCGGACTCGACTTAGCGACTAAACCACCACTCTCAAGGCTTTTCCTTAGCTTGTCCCTAGCACCAAAACAGTTGTTTGCAGCGCTTGCCCATAACCCAGTGCCCTCCCCTACACGCGCACACCACTCACTAAGACCTGTCCTTACTGCCTCTTCGTTGGAGGACAAAAGGAATGAAAAATGCCCACCAAACTGAGAAGGTATCTTGCAGCTGAAAAAAATGAGACAGGCAGCTCTATGTTGTCAGTCGCTCAGTCGTGTCCGACTCTTTGCAACCCCATGAACTGTAGCCCACCAGGCTCTTCTGTCCATGGAATTCTCCAGGCAAGAATACTGGAGTGGGTTGCCATGCCCTCCTCCAGGGGATCTTCCAGACCCAGGGATGGAACTCGGGTTTTCAGCTCTGCAGACAGATTCTTTACAGTCTGAGTCACCAGGGAAGTCCATGTAATCAATGGATCTATTTATTATTCAGTAACTTACAGGATGGGATCAGAAGGACTATGGTCCAGAGGCATGTGCAGTTGCACTGCATACACTGCTGAGGGGCCATTGGGGCAGTTTTATAGTTAGCCAAGGGAATGGGAGTACTGCTCAGAAACAGTAAGTGTATTCCTAAGTCAAGGTTTATAGACGGCTAACTAGTCTCCTGGGCTCTGGGAATATGTCAGAGAAGGCATTCGTCATTGTTCAAGGACTAAGAGCATAGAGGCCACAGGGTCCTGAAGTGAAAGTGTTAGTCGCTCAGTCGTGTCCGACTCTTTGGAACCCCATGGACTGCAGCCCACTAGGCTCCTCTGTCCATGGGATTCTCCAAGCAAAAATACTGAAGTGGATTGCCATTCCCTTCTCTAGGGGATCTTCCTGACCCAGGATGGAACCCAGGTCTTCTGCATTGCAGGCTGTCTCTTTACTGGTGGAGCCACCAGGGGAGCCACTGGATCCTAATGATTATTAAATAGTATCTATTAACTACAAAGCTCTTGATGACAGTAAAATGGTTTACTGCAGAGCACAGTTCTGGGTAGGGTCAGTGGAAGGATAGGAACTTGTACATGCCCAAGTTGGCATCAGTTATGCTGACAGTCATACATTCTTAGTAGTTAGCAAACCAGTCCCCTGTTTATTTACCCTACTGATACTGTCTTAATGTTAGGCCTTCCCCATACCCAGGAAGAATCACAACTCTCTGTCTATAGGCATCTTGTGCTTCTACTGCCCACTCACTCCATTCTTGTCATTGCTGTCAGAGTAGTGTCTCTAAAAATTTGATCCTCAAATTGTCAATGGTTCCTTATAGCCTTTTCTTTGGGGATTCTTCATTTACAATCTGTACATAGAACTTAATTTCAATGAATTTCTGGACTCTGCCAATAACAGACTGAGTTTGGAAGAGGATCCCAAACTTCAGATGAAAACACAACACCACATCTGGAATCAGCCATTTCTCTAAGGAGACCCAGGATTCCTGGTTTTCAGAAGCAAATGTTTTTTTAGGTATCACAGTCTAGGCTTCCAGGAGTGTTTAATGCTTCTGAGTTAGTTAATATTTATGGACTTTTTCAGGTAAAATGTATCATAAGTTTACATTGATACTATCAATTCAAATTTATTGTTTCAGACACCATGCAAATGAGCCTGAAAGAACTTGTCAAATCCAAAACAAGGAATTGTCAAAAAAAAAAAAAAACAGTATGATTATGTAAAAAGGACTCAGAAGCCAAATGGAAGAAGCTTTCCTCTGTCAAAATTACACAATTAGGGACTTCCCTGGTGGTCCAGTGGTGAACAATCTACCTCCAATGCAGGTACACAGGTTAGATCCCTGGTCCAGGAAGATTGCATATGCCTCAGGGCAACTAAGCCTGTGCACCACATCTACTGAAGCCCAGACACCTAGAGCCCATGTTTCACAACAAAAGAAGCCACCACAACAAGGAGCCTTTGCACTACAACTGGAAAGCAGCTGCCACTCACTGCAACTAAAGAAAGCCCTTGCAAAACAACAAAGACCCCACACAGCCAAAAATAAGTAATTAAAAATAAAATTACACCATTAGAGGACTAAAGGGGGTAAAATCTACAAGGTATTCAAACAAATCAAATACGTCTAAATCTAGATGTTCATAATGATGACAATTGAAAAAGAACTCATTGTAATCCTTGGAAGATGCTAATAAACCTACTCATCATTTTGAAAACTGACAAAAGGAAAATGTTAAGCATTTGCTAATTGTACCATGCACTAACTGTAACTCAGGTAATGAAAAAGTTGATAAGAGCAATTTTTCCTTTATATACATACAGCTAATAAATTCAGAAAGAAATATACGTTTATAATATTTTATACCATTAAATGAAATAATAAAGACAATGATCATCAATGGCTGCTAAATCATGAAAATAAAGAACATTAGAACTTTTTTGCTTCCTGAAAGTATTAATGCGCCCCCAAAAGGTCAAATCTGATTCTAATAAAGTCTTCAGGTTACAATATTTTATAGTGAATGCAGAGGAAAGAGGAAGATGTAAAATCAGCATAAATACAATCAGTTGAGTCCAAACTGTGGAAAACTCTGCATCATTAATGACCTGACTGTTCAGTAACTCAATGGTTGGAAAAAATAAACAGGGAAGAACTAAACACTAAAAGATAACATGAAAAATAAGCAACTGAAATACATAAACTTATTTGAACACTGCTTCAAACAAAAAAATCTTTTTTAACACAGGAAATTTAAAGAGTCCCTAGACTCTTGATACTAAAGACTTAACTTTTTCTGTTGTGATAAAAGCATTGTTATTATTAAAAGAGTAATTTTAGAGATACATATTGAAAGATTTACCAATGAAATGGCAATGCCAAAAGTATTCAGGAAACAAAATCAGGCTCCTGGAAATTAAAAACAAGATAGCAGGAGTGGAAGAAAGGTGTGATATCTTCCAGATGCAGAGCAAAAAACCCAAAAGATGAGAAATATTAAAAGAACAGTCTAGAAAATTAAGATTCAAATATTAGGAGTTCCAGAAAGAGAAAGCTCACCAGTGGAAATAGCCAAGAAAATTATTCCACAAAATTTCCTGTCACTGAAGGACTATAGACCTTCCCTGAATGTCCAACTAAACAGATAAATATCAAGCACACAAAGCACTGTGAAATGTCCAAATGCTCTTCCCCAGCGCTCTGAAATTGTTTGGAAATCCTACAAGCTTCCAAGGAGAAGGAGAGTTCACAAACAAACAATGAGGAGTGAAAATGCACTGAAGCTGGCTCTCACCACAATAAATGGCTGAGAGAAATACGGCTGGGGTGCCACACTCAGCCCTGCAGCTGAGTATGAACCCACCCCACCCCTGCTGTCTCCCTCATACACTTAGCAGTTGATAAAAAGCAGACTCCACAGTCCTTTAATGCCGAATTTTTTCTCTCAAGATGAAAAAAATAGGAACTGAAGCTACCAAGAAAAACACCAAGAGCTAGAAAACAAATGCTCTAAAACAAAAAGTATTTCCATGAAAAAAAAAGAAGAAAAGAAAAAATGTTTCCAACCTAGAATTTGGAATTATCGTACACCCTCTCTTAGAGAAACCTGGGGGATATGCTTCACTTAAATAGAACGAGGAAAAACAGCATTCAAAGAATAGGAGTTCCCACACAGGAAACAGCTGGAGGGAATTCTAATGAAGGGAGATCCCAGAATGACTGCTGTGGATCAGATCTAGAGGATAATCATCCAGAAGCTTCTCCAGGAAGTCAGAAAATCCTTGGAGAGCTCTGTTTAAGAAGATGAAATTGATAGAGCATCCGATGGGAATGACATACTGAAAATAATTTAGACAGCTGACATAGTTTGGGATTAAATTAGTGATAACTCCTTAGAAAACCAAGTCATCAGAAAAGATACATTTATTACATTCTTTCTGTACAAACTATATTTCAGAGTAATAAAATAATTGATAAGGAAGGGAAAGTTCGTATGGATAAAATTTCAGGTAATAGATGCAGAAGGAATACTGGAATTTTTTAAAAAACCG